AGCACCAAATCAGCATATTGGAATGATTTCTGAAGGATCATGTGAGACTGAAAACTGGAGTAATAACTGCTGAAACTTCAGCTTTGCCGTCACAGAAATAAATTGCATTTTAAAATATATTAAAATAGAAAACAATTATTGTACATTGCGTTAATATTTCTCAGTATTACCGTTTTTTTCATCAAATAAATGCAGCATTGGTTAGTAAAGAGACTTCTTTCAAAAACATGAAAAAATGTATCAACCCCAGAATTTTGAACTGTAGTGTATACATTTTAATTTAAATTTGTATAAGTTAACATTAAATTATAAAATGCAGTGGAATTTGTGACTTCATAATACCTAATACTTCACAGTAAGTATTAAAAGGGGTAACTGGCATTTTAAACAATTATGTTTGATTTTAGGGTGCTGCCAACACTCTGATCTTCCCGGTGGTGCAGCAGTTCACTGAGGCCTTCATACAGGCCCTGCAGATTCCAGATGGACCCACTTCAGATAGTGGCCTGAAGATGGAAGTGCTAAAGGTGACTAGCTGTTGCATCGTGCAGAAAAACACTTTTTCCCCTTGTGATGTAAATGTAATTATCAATTGTTATCTCTTCATAGGCAGTGACGGCTCTTGTGAAGAACTTCCCCAAACCCATGGTGTCCTCTATGCAACAGATTCTACCTATCGTATGGAACACCTTGACAGAAAGTGCCTCTTTATATCCATTCATTGACAGATTTTACCACTTGTTTAACCTATCGTCATTAAAGGAAAAGTTCACCCAGAAATGAAAATGTATTCATGCTCAAGTCATCCAAAATGTAGATGAGTTTATATCTTTATCGTAACAGGTTTGGAGCATTACATGACTTGCTCACCAATGGATCATCTGCAGTGAATGGGTGCCGTCAGAATGAGAGCTCAAACTGCTGATAATAACATCACAATAATCCACACAACTACAGTCCATCAGTTAACATTTTAGGAAGTGAAAAGCTGTCTGTTTGTAATAAACAACTCCATCATTAAGATGTTTTTAACTTAAAACTGTTGCTTTAGCTAAAATGGAGTTCATAAAACCATAATATTGCTTTCACTTGGAAATCTGAGGGTGAGCACATTTTAATTTTTGGGTAAACTATTCTTTAGTATCTCAGACCTGTTTGATGTTTTTATCGGTGCCAGTTATTTCAGTAAAATATAAGTTTTTTCTTAACCAAGCATGTACTTATGTGAGAACTGAGGTCAACTACACAGAAGAAGTAGATGATCCAATTGACTCTGATGGTATGTGGCACTAGATTTTTGCAAGAACTGATCATTGTTATTCAGACTAGCTTAGTAAGCGCTGAGCTCTGTTAATTGATTGTCACAGGTGAGGTCCTTGGCTTTGAGAACCTCGTCTTCAGCATCTTTGAGTTTGTCCACACACTGCTGGAGAACAAGAAGTTCAAGAGCACAGTGAAGAAAGCTCTACCAGAGCTCATTTATTACATCATCCTCTACATGCAGATCACGGAGGATCAGGTTTGTGTGCAGTGTGAGTGTGTCATATGTCTTTTTTATAGCCTTTATCTTCATGTTCTCATCCATCACACAGATCAAGGTATGGACAGCCAATCCACAGCAGTTTGTTGAGGATGAGGATGATGACACATTCTCTTATTCGGTCCGGATATCTGCACAGGATTTGTTGCTGGTGAGAGCACAGAGAGTTTGTTTGTAGGTGTTTAAATTTAGAGCCCGACCGATATTGTTTTTTTGATACCGATATTATGGAGTAAAAAAAGGCCGGCATCGATATATCGACCGATGTTCTTTGTGTATATTATAGTACAGTACCAGTCAAAAGTTTGGACACTTTCCCATTCGTGTTTCCAAACATTTGACTGGTATTATATATAGAATACAGTATATACATAAACAGAATATATATACATAAACACATTTTTTACAATGATCACTCAAATGTGGTGATCAAACACTTATAATGACGGGACAAAGATATGTAATGATAGAGGCAGGGCATTTAACAGTTTAATAATAAACTTTTATTATCCAAAATGAGTCTGACATCAGTGCACTGAACAGTAAAGTTGAAGTTTATTCAATTCAATTTCATTCAACTTTATTCCGTTGAAGTTTTTCACTTTGGAACATTCATTCACGGATTTGCGCTACGGTATTCACACACAGACTAAACTTACTAAAGAAGTGTGAAGTCTGACATAATATACCTCTGTAAATAAATATAAATTCACGTCTCACACACTTTAATGCCCTTTGAATGTAACGTGTACGTTCCCTTGGAACTGGAATTATGGCGGAATATCATGTGAAGTCCACTTCGTAGGGCACTTGCGGTCGAATAAGCCAACGCTTGAATGCTGCTGCCTGAATAAGAGACCTCCTTACTGAAGTGAAAGTGTTGGCTGGGCGTCGAGACGTACACTTGATTCGCGTTCGAGAAGGTTCCTCGAGCTGAAGGGGTCCCCCAAATTTGGTGCGGATTCGCCGAGCCTTTACGGAGATATGGCCGTTCAAAGTTTCAATGATTTTTCATAGATTTGAGCTTTAAAGCGTTTCATCCAGGTCGCCAGTAGCAAACAATGGAGTACGCTCTGCTGGACAAACTAAGTAATTACATAATTTCAAGCATTTTATCTGCATTATATGTTCTGTAAAAAAAAATTTATATCGGCGGCAACAGGCTCATATCGGCCGATAATATCGGCTAAACGATATATCAGTCAGGCTCTAGTTTAAATGTTTAACCTCCTTTGTTTAAATGATGCGATTTCAAGTTTTTCTTTCTCTTTGGAGTGTTACAAGCTGATTGTGCATAGAAAAGATCCCTGAAGTTGCAACGACTAAAGTCTCAAAACCAAAGAGATATTCTTTATCAAAGTTAAGACTCTGCCATGCCCCCCTAAAACGGCTCGTTCCAACACGCCCCCACATATCTACCTCACTATGTGGAAATATTTGCATAATGCTGCCCAAATGTGCACGCAAAGAAAGAAGGCGTGGTTTCAGTAACCGCAGTTAGTGTTGATGCAGCAATGTCAGGGAGACGCTGTGTGTTTCAATGCGAAAGCAAAAGCACTTTATTTGGCCTTCCAGAAGTAGATGCATTTAGGAATCCTTAAGATTACTTACAACAGAGCAGCAATGCATTTTATGGACGACCGTTTCGTGAACCTAGGAGAGGAGGTAATTCTGACTTTGCTATGACAATCTGGCGCTTCTGAATCAGCTACGGTTTTGTTATTAGTTTAAGAATTTGCTATTGACTGTTCAAATGTGGAGTTTTGCGCATCGTGTGTGTGTGTGTGCGCGCGTGTGAGAGAGAGGGTCACATCACATCACAGTGGAGTCAGCTGTCTTAACCGTGGCTTGTGTACTGCACACATACCAGCTTCATCACTGTGTCTGTCACGCGACTCTGTTCCCCTTTCGGGCTCTGTCTTTACATTTATTTTGAAAGATGAAGCTCGCGATTATGGTAAGGGGCGTTACATTTCCGATGAGTGCTTGTGGTGTTCGGCCAATCACAATGCACTGGGTCAGCTGGCCAATCAGAGCAGACTGCGCTTGTCGGAAGAAGGGACTTTGTAGAAAACGAAGCGTTTGAGAGAGGCGGGGCATAGAGGACCTACAATAATGTACAGTATTTGAAAAATAATGTGTTTTTTGAACATTAAAGCATTTCAACATATTCTGTTACACCAAATACACAAAATAATGATCTTTAAAAATGCATCATATGACCCCTTTAATGCATATTTTTGTCCATCAGGCCGTTGCTGCTGAGTTTCAGAACGAGAGCGCTGCTGCTTTAGCCGCGGCTGCAACACGGCACCTCCAAGAGGCAGAGCAAGCCAAGAACACAGGCAGTGAACACTGGTAAACAGAGAAAAACATCCTCTATCACAACTAAACTTTCTTTTTCTTTGTGTTGCTTTACACCAGGGTTTCCCAAATGGGGGTTTGAGAACCCCTGGGGATTTGTGAGGGAAATGCAGGGGCTTTTGTGAGTTAAAAGCTAATAATTAAACTGAGTGTAAATGTAAAATAAACAAATGTGGTTGCATAATTGAAACTGCCATATAGCCTTTTTACACATTTGCCCAATTTAAATAAAACACTAGAAAAAAGATACTACATTTATATCTGTTCAGTTGCATGTCACGTGATCATTAGCCAACATCAGAGAACCATAAACATGCAAATGTGTTGTTAAATCAATGTGAAGTATTACCCTTATCTCTGTTGGTACTTTAAGTAAATATGTTATATCTAAGGGGTTCGGCTGACAAAAAAAAGTTTGGGAACCCCTGCCTTACATCAGTATCTCCATAAATATGCAGGTGGAAGGTGCATGAGGCTTGCATGCTGGCCCTGGGGTCAGTCAAGACCATCATCACTGAGAATGTAAAGAACGGTCGTGTGCATTTCGATATGCATGGATTCCTTGCCAATGTCATTCTTGCTGACCTCAATTTACCAGGTAACCTTGTTCTAAACTTTCATTTTGATCTTATGTCTGTATATGGCCTGAGTGTAGACCTGTGGATGTAATCCCCATGTTATTTAATTCCCAGCAGCCTCTCCATTCCTGTTGGGTCGGGCCTTATGGGCAGCCAGTCGCTTCACCGCAGCAATGTCCCCAGAACTCATTCAGCAGTTCCTCCAGGCCACTGTGAGTGGTCTACATGAGAGTCAGCCACCCTCTGTCCGGATCTCTGCTGTGAGAGCGATCTGGGGGTAGGACTTTCATTTCCAGTCTCTCGTGTGCAGAGTTTAATCATTTGTGCAAAATGGTATGGTTGTTCTTTGTAGTTATTTTTTATTTATTTATTTGATCTTTTTCACAATTTAAGCCTGAAATTAATTTAATACACTTACCCTTTCAAATGAGACATGGCTTGGGCTGCCCTTAAGCAGGAATCTTATTTGGTTCTACACCTTTTACAGGATTCCCACGCGTCCTGGAAAACACATGGAAAATGTGAAATGTCCTGGAAAATCTTGTAGTTGTCCAGGGAAATGTTTGTTTTAAAAAATTTAATTGTGTTTTCCTTTAGCCAAGAACAAACAGTTTACCACTGGCTCTAAACAAATGTTAGTATTAGAAAACTTTCGAATGGCCGTAAATTGGGACCGACCTGTTTTTGCTGCAAACGCGCGATCGGCAATCAGTTCTTTTGTTTTATTTCAGGCGATCTCTGTTCCGGACTTGCACACAAACTGAATTGCAAGCATTTTCCAAAATGTAATATGTGTGGAAATATTACTATTATCCTAACTGAGTCTATAAACGGGACGTTAACAGAGGCCAGAGACGCTGAAGATGGACACAAAGAGGGGAAAATACTGTAGCTGGCAGAGCAGCTCATTTGTTCATGATGAGCAAAATATTGGAAGAAAGTCCTTAATATTGAATTGGGGTGGTGGGTTATATGAATGTATCTCTGAGGGGAGCTGACTGTCTTCAGAAAAGTTTATATGGTATTTTCTTTACATCATGCCTCTGTATAATGCATATTAAAGTAGTATTTCTAGGCACAACCAAGGAAACGCTGGGAAGCGCCACCCAACGTCACTTGCTGTCAGAGTGAATTTGCTTTCTAATTCAATCTGTCTGCTGGTTTTTTTTGTGCAGATATTTTTTATGTAGCATAATTTCACAAAGCTAAAGTCAGACCATTCTGTTTTCTGTCTTCAGATTTTGAAATTACACCTTACAAGTTAATCTAATTTAAATCAGAAACTGCTCATGTATGTAGCATCTTAGTTTGGATCGTGATTAAAATGCAGTGGTCGCCTCTAATTTTAAATGCGTATAGATAGTACTGTCTGCATTAGAGCAAAAACATGTTCAAAAACATGATCTTATCTCTTGCATTAAAAAATAAATATTAGCAAATTGGTATCGGAATCAAGATTGGTGTATCACTACTGACTTTTGACAGTGAGCGTTGACATGTTTCCCAACGTTCTATCCAGTGGTGAACATGGTGAAAAGTATTTCAGTGATTCAGTAACTTGTTAACTAATAATTTGGATTGTTGTCAAAAGTAGGCCATTAGTACTTCTGCACCAAGTTGATACTGAATTTTTTCAGATGTAACAGCCTTTCTGCAGCACTGGTAGTACCAAGTACAGACTCAATGCAGTACTCACTGATAGGCAGCTGCTTTCAAACGCTTCAGTGCATATTTATATCGCTTTACGTGAACAGTGATATGCAATGGCCAATCAGAGGTGTTTAAGTAAGTCAGAATCCACTCAGTTTTCACTTGACCCTTTTAAAGCAATACTTAACTGAAAAATATTTGAAGGATACATGCCAATATTTTAAAATATTATTTTCTTTCATATTATTATTAGTATTAGTATTAATAATGGACTGATTTAATTTTCAAATAGTTTAATAAAATAAATACTTTCTCTTTTTTTGTTGATAAGGTACTGAAATTGGTTCTTAAAATCATTTGTTGAATAATTAAGAGCTCATATTAAAGAGCTGATTTTTTTTAGTTAAGTCATGGCCATAAACTGTATGCTTTTAAAGACTTCTGGAGAGAGGAATATATTACTTTAGGGCATCCTTGTTTTTTATTGTCACCGTAATTAAATTAAAAATGTCCTGGAAAAGTCCACGAAGACCTGGAAAATAATCACAGAAAAAGAGTGGGAACCCTGTTTTAGTTTTAAGGACAGAAACCTAAAAAAATATCTTGAGAAATGAATGTACATAAGTGGTTTAAACTGACCAATTAATACACAATTTAATTATTTCAAAATAATGCTGGTGTGTATTGTTTTTTTATTAAAAAAATATATGATTTTTTTTAGTTAAGTCATGGCCATAAACTGTATGCTTTTAAAGACTTCTGGAGAGAGGAATATATTACTTTAGGGCATCCTTGTTTTTTATTGTCACCGTAATTAAATTAAAAATGTCCTGGAAAAGTCCACGAAGACCTGGAAAATAATCACAGAAAAAGAGTGGGAACCCTGTTTTAGTTTTAAGGACAGAAACCTAAAAAATATCTTGAGAAATGAATGTACATAAGTGGTTTAAACTGACCAATTAATACACAATTTAATTATTTCAAAATAATGCTGGTGTGTATTGTTTTTTTATTAAAAAAATATATTTTTTTTTTTTCATTTTTATTATTTAAATTAATATCTGTATTCATCAAGCATGCATTAAATATATAAAAAATATTGATATAAAATAACAGAAATGACATTTAGAAAAGTAGATTTAAGATTTCTATTTCAAATAAATGCTGTTAATTTGAACTTTCTGGTAATCAAAGAATCCTAAAAACAAACAAAAAATTTAAATCATAATTTCCACAAAAAAAGTGATCCCTCTTTATATCGGTTTCACAGGTACTGTGATCAACTCAAGCTCTCGGAGAGTACTCACGTCCTGCAACCCTTCCTGCCCAATATCTTGGAAGGGCTGGTGCAGCTCGCGGCTCAGTTCAGCTCTGAAGTTCTCACTTTAGTCATGGAAACCCTCTGTATTGTTTGCACCGTGGATCCGGCTTTCACCACGAGTGCTGAGAACAAGATCTGCCCACTCACTATTGCCATCTTCCTTAAGTACAGTAATGGTAAGATTATTTTATAGTCAACAGCCAGTATCATTTGTAATTTAGATGACCTGTGGCTTATCATGCTCTCTTTTCCTTTTCTGTTAGATCCTGTTGTAGCGTCTTTAGCGCAGGACATCTTCAAAGAGCTTGCCCAGATCGAAGCCTGCCAAGGACCCATGCAAATGCGCCTCATTCCTACTCTTGTTAGCATTATGCAGGCACCGCCTGATAAAATCCCATCTGGCCTTTGTGCTGTAAGTTAAACTTCTCAATTTCTTCTACTTCTTACTATAATCTGTAAACAATACATATTTTTTGTTCCTACAGACATCCATAGATATCCTAACTACGGTTGTTCGTAACACTAAACCCCCGTTGACTGACATGCTTGTGTGCCAAGCTTTTCCTGCAGTGGCCCATTGCACTCTCCGCACAGATGACAACACCACAATGCAGGTAGCATCATTCTCCCAGAAACAAATCCGATATGTCTTTTCAGAGTCCTCATGTCGGTTGGTATCTAACTCTCATCATTGTTGATTTTCCCAGAATGGCGGTGAATGCTTGAGGGCCTATGTATCCGTGGCGCTGGAGCAGATTGCCCAGTGGCAAGATGAGCAAGGCCACAGTGGTCTGTGGTATGTCATGCAGGTTGTCAGTCAGCTCCTGGACCCCCGCACATCCGAGTTCACTGCTGCTTTTGTAGGTCGTCTAGTGTCCACTCTCATTGCCCGTGCTGGCACTCAGTTGGCTGACCAGCTGGACCAAATACTGCGTGCTATTCTCAGCAAGATGCAGCAGGCCGAGACCCTCAGTGTGATGCAGGTAGGGTTGGATTGATACCAGAATTTTGGTCTAGGTGCAGTACCACAGTGCTGATAGTAAACTGATACTTTTTCAAACTAAAGCTTGGGGGCCACAAAAAGGTGCTGGGGGTCTGTGGAAATTTTGAGAGAACCAGAATAATTTCTTACACTTTTAGGGCTGTCAAAGTTAATATGTTAACTTTAAAAGTTTAACAGTCATTTTAAAGGGGTCATGAAAGGATTTTTTAAAATTATTATTTTAATATGTTCCTTGAGGTTCACTTATAATATTAATATATTATATATATTATAATAGTTTTTTGCACAAAAAAAACATTTGTGAAATAGTGATGTGTGGATGGCGGTTATATCTGCGGGCGATGCAGATAATCAGCGGGTCAGGTAATAAAAAAATGCATTCTGATTATTTGCGGGTGGATAAAATAAATCATTAATAATGCAAGTAGTAACTACATTTTCTAAAATATGAACGTGTTTTAAATAGGCTACAGAAATGTAATAAACTGTAAATTAACATTAAAAGTTATTCAACAAAACATTATTTAGTCAAGAAGAGCAGTGAGGTATTTTCTCTCTTTTGTTGTTTGATTAACATTAATGACAGCACAGCTTTATTAGGCTGCTGTCACAAGACCTATTTCACGGATCCAGTACTGATACTCATGCGTTTTATTTAGCAACTGTTTACATTAACTTAAGACAAAACCGACTATGCTTTCTCAATTTGGTACTCAAGCGCACAGAAAAGCGCCACTGGAGAGCGCGAGTACCGAATGGCTTAAAAATAAGACATTTTTGTGACGATGCAACAATAACTGATTAGGCTATTGACAATTCTGTCAACTGTCCTGAAACGCGAGCTAAAGTCTTATATCGCAGCGTAAAGCAGCTCTAGATGCGTCGATGTGAAGAGAAAGTCAAAGAGAGAAGATGCGGTACAGCTGAATCACCTACGCTGTTTTCATCTGATGGTTTGTGTGGATTTATTTACTCATCTAACCTACACACTATATTGAATAAAAATGTTGCCACAATTTCCCTCATTTTAAAGTCGAAAGCTGTGGGAATGAGTAATGCGATGTATGCGCAATCCCGCAACGAAATTCAGCACCTGATTAAACGGTATTCTATTATACAGAGAATTGTGAAATAGATTTTCATAATTTTTCAAAAACTTTCTGGGTTTATTTATTTTTACAAAACTTTCCAGGCCTGGAAATTGCCATTCAATTACTTTTCCAGGTGTTTCATGACCGTACGAACCCTAATGTGATGATCGGGTGCGGTTATCTAAATCAGACAAAAATACAGGTGCAGGCGGTTGGCGGGTGGATAATTTATTTGAAGCTGTGGATTTGGGTGACATTTTAGCTCATCCGCGCATCACTAATGTGAAATTTTTTTTATTTTCAACCCTCATTCTGACCCTCTATCTAAAAATTATCTGTTTTCAAGGGCGGGTCCTTTAAGGCTTGTCAGTAATCGGCCACTGTTATGATTGGTTAACGTCATTGCATATGAAACTGTATCAACGCCCCCCACACTACTGCATGTGAATAAGTGCTTTGAAAACATCCATATAAAACCATCATTTACAGACAAAGCATTATGAAATCATTTACTTACGGTTTGCGAGGCAGCTGCAGTCAGATCCAACAGCGTCATCTTTCAACAAATGTTTCTTTGCAAACTCTCCATTACATTTTGCCTCATTTACAAAACAAAATGCTCCGAACAAATGTACATATGATCCTCCGATACGATCCAGGATGCCATTTAAAATGGACCATCTGCTTGTTTCTAATGCTGGGATCCTTCTGATGTCTATACAGAGATGCAAACTAGCTGTTTAAACCAAATGCATCAAAGCAAATGGTCTTTCACTCTTCCGTTTGTCCTGTTGTCGACAGACTATGTCAGAAAGTGAACGTGCATCTGTATACTCTATCCGGTGTAGACAAGAAAGCGGCAGTTATAATGGGTTCAATTTGCTTTAGACGCGACACTCAGTGTAGGTAAGTGACTGAACGCCAGTGGGCGGGGCCTATGGTGAGATGATGACTATTCGTCGATGTCTTGCTCTGGAGGCAGTGTTTATGCAAATGTCTGTGCCTTTGTGACGTCACATGCCACCTCGGATTCAAATGAGCTGTGCTTGGAGTTTGATTGAATAAATGCTTTATTTATAATGAGGAGGATGTTTTAAGCTATGAAACTTGCAGGATGTTGTAATGGTACTAAGACCTCTTATATGCCAAAAGATCAAGGCAAATTTGATTTCTCATGTCATGACCCCTTTAAAATATTAACTGATTTTGGCATTATTACGGTTTGACATTTTCAAAAGAAAAAGCATAATAGGACCCCTTTAATTTTCTTGTACAGCAGATAAGTCTGAATTGTGCTGTAGCTGCTGGCTCAAATGAGGTGTGAAATACATTCTCGCTCTTCATTTTACAGTCCCTGATCATGGTTTTTGCCCACCTGGTCCATTCCCAGTTGGAGCCCCTGCTGGAATTCCTATGCAGTCTTCCAGGTCCCACAGGGAAACCTGCCCTAGAGTTTGTCATGGCTGAGTGGATGAGTCGCCAACATCTGTTCTACGGCCAGTATGAAGGCAAAGTCAGGTGAGAGTTTCCAGTCATGTCTGCAGTGTGTTTGAAGAAATTGCACAGCTTCCGTTTGAAATAACACTGTAATCGCTCTGTCCACAGTGCTGTTGCCTTGTGTAAACTTCTCCAGCATGGTCTGAATACAAATGACAAGCGCCTCCAAGATATAGTTGTCAAAGGAGATGAAATTTTTAATCCAGACGAGGGAATCTGTACACGTTCCAAATCAGCCAAGAGTAAGTTAATGATCTCTTAAACTGCCAAATGAATGATTATTAATAATTGTTATTGTCTCAGATATCTGACTGATCTGTTTCTCTCAGACCCACAGCGGTGGACCAACATTCCTTTGCTGGTAAAGATCTTTAAACTCATCGTCAATGAACTGTCTTCTGTGGTAGAGGCTAATGCAAATAGAGCAAATCCTGCAGACTGGAGCCAAGGTACTTATGTGGTTTAACTATTTACCCCTAGTATTAGAATTGATCGTTGACATTGAAATGTGGAGCCGTCTTAAGTTTAGTGCATTTGCTTTGCAGACTCTGGTGGAATGTGGGACGATCTGGCTGAGGAAGAGGATGATGAGGAAGAAGATGAAGGATTAGCAGGACAGCTTCTGTCTGATCTCATTGCCTGCAACAAATATGGTGAAGTATCATATTATATTTGCATTTATATTGCATATATTGTGATATATATATCATACATTTCCTAGGAATCAAACCTATACCGTAAGCTTTATTTTAAAAAAAAAGATTGTCATCAATGTTATTTTAGTATTTATATACTATTCTTTTTTTTTTATTAATATTTAGAATTAGAATTTTATTTTTATATTTTGATTTATATTTCTTTTTAATTTACTTTAAATTTTAGTACTTTTGTTATGAGCTTTTGTAATTTTTTTTTATGTTTTTTTTTTTAAAATACCATTAAATGAAATATTAGTATTTTTACATTTAAATTAACTATCTAGGTTAAATGTATTTGTTTACTAATTTGCTAACTACTTAAATACTTAATTTTTTTAATTAATTTTCATCTAATATGTTTTATTTTATTTCAGCCTTTTCAATTAACAAAAATGTTTTTATAGTTTTAGTTAACAATAATAACTGCTTCACATCTTTTGCAAAGCTTTTGTGGTGGACAGACATGTACATGTTAGGATTTATTTGTAAAAGCAAAAGAACAAAAATATGAGTAAAACAATGAAGTACACAAATCGTTGCATATTCACTACCTTGTCTTTTCTATAAACAGTCTGTAACACCTATTGTGATTTCCCCATAGACGATGATTATTATGAGGATGATGATGAGGAGGATCCAGATGCTCTGAAGGATCCCATATATCAAATTGACCTTCAGGTAAGTTATTTGGCATCGACACTAAAGTATTGCTGTAACCAGACCTCATATCTTCATTGCTCGTCTCCGTGTTTTTTTCCACAGGCGTATCTGACAGATTTCCTGACCCAGTTTGCTCAGCAGCCTTGCTATAGCATGTTTTCAAGCCACTTGAATGAAGTAGAGAGAGGAGTCTTGCAGTCCATCGGTATGTGACCTGTATACCCAACATCGGCTCCTTGTCCTTTGTTTCCGTCTTTACCACTCAGTCATCTTTTCATCAAACTTGAACATTTGAGTGGACTCGGAATGCCTATCGGACAACGTTCTTGATCCAAAACTCAAAAGAGGACTTAAAGGTTTACGTGCCTCTCCCTGTGTTTTATTAAGGGAAGGAATGGACAATGATTTCCGGGGATGTAAGAGCAGGGTGTGAGGGGCTCACAGACAGGACTGTGTGGGTGCATTTGAATCGGATGTCAAAACAATGCTGTGCTTTGATAGACCTGTCTAGTATGATGAATGATTTTTTTGCAAAGGGCCTGGTAACGGTATAGGAATGATTTAAAAATATCCACTGTCCATTTGTACCTTCTCACTCTACTAATTCATGATGGTTAAAAAATCTTTCTGTAAAGGAAGGAAAAAGACTTCTGACAGATGATGAATCTACACTTTGAAAAGAAGTTGGAACTGTTGACAGCCTTATTAAAGTTCTCCATGTTGTTTGTCATTATGTGGTCTCATGAGATGATCTTTATGGCTACACTGTTGGGTGAGCATGAAGAATAATATAGTGTTACCATAGTGATCCTACAGTCTTATTAGCAGCATTGTCTCCATTGAGGTATGAGAAGAATTTCAAAATAAAAGGCCTGTTAAGGTCTCAATTTTAAATGTCTAGATTATTTTTGCAGATTTAGAAATCTGCATGAAAGTATTTTATTTATTTTTTACTGTAAACAATCTTCATTTACTCAAAGATATATTTTGCAGAGTGCAATAAATGTTAGTAAATGTACTTTACCATTAGAATTTAACACATTTGATTATGAACGTGCATATCTGTATGTTGTTAGGTTACTAGGCATTGTTTTGTTAAAAACAAATGTGGCCTCAGTTTTGTTTTTAAAAATACTTTTAAGAACTAAATTACGATTTAGGAAAATATGGACTTTATTACACAATTATTTACAGATTTCTTTTAAGTTTGAATTACTATGTTTTCCAGTACAACCTACACTGGTAGTGGCACACTCTACATTAATTTACAAATTTTAAGTAGACAATATACACAAGTTTTATATTTTAAATTATGGGAATAGTTGATCAAACTTTGAGTTGGATGTAATGAAACAAAAAAAACTGCGAACTGATTAATACATTTAATTAAATGTAACATAACCCTTACTTTAAGAAAAGACGCAGTGTAGTCTCTACATATAATGTGAGTGAGTGTATTCATCTCCAGAAATGTGAACTATTCAGAGCGGCCGAGGCGAGCTGTCTACAGGAGCCCACGGGCATCATTTTTCCTCGTGGAATTTCGCGCGTATGCGGTCAATCTCCTGAATAATTCCCTTCATTTCCACTTTTAATTTATATGAAATATAAGCGCTATCCAGGCGAAGTGAACGTCCTTTCATTTATTTGATCAATGAGGAGGCTGAGGCTGGTACTGGAGATGTGGCGTGCGGGCGTGTAGCGTCACGGGCGGGGTGTCATCACTCACATCGCATGTTGATCACGAAGCCGCTTGATTCGGAGCTCCGCTGTCTGCGAGTCGTGGCAGAAAATATCGTTTTAAGGTCTTTTTTCAAAGGATGCAAACGTAACCGTTTGTGTCTGGTGTAACTGGAAGCAGCATGTCCTTCTACGCCGTCATTATACCGGTCCTCTGTATCATTTTCTCGGCTTGGCAGGGTAAGACGATATTGTAGTTTCTTCATAGGCCTCATTGTCGCAAATATTTACTTACAAACATGTTTCTGTTTATAATGTATTATAGTCATCAGCAAAAAAAAAAACATTACTCAAATGCCACGTATAGCTCTTATCTAATGCCATTTATATATACATAGCTGCCGTGGACAAACCAGAATATGTCATTTCTATAGCAACAGCTCTCAAACCCCTCAGATGTGTAAGTTCACATGAGGCTGCAGGTGTTTTTCTTCTGCATTCTGTAGGTAGGTCATTCACTGCAGAACCAGTAACTGAAACATTATCCAAGAGTTGAGACCTTAAAGCAAGTGGTCAACTGACCTACATGCAATTTCTGTAAAAAAAAAAATCGAAAAACGAATTTCATATGTTTTAAAAGGTTTTACTCAAAATAAATTCAAGAAACTACTTGGCGGCACTTCAGTCGTTATTTGGGTTAGCTAAGCGATCGTCTACGCAGTTAACTAATCCGAAATTAATGATTAATGAATTTATGAATTAATCAATGTGCTCATAGCGCATTAATTGCCCCTCTGTCTATTTAGGTTATTGTTAATGTTTATTATAAATATTTAAGCGTGTGTGTGTGTGTTTGTTTGTTTGTGTGTACAATTTATTATGTAATAACACATTACAATATGTGTTTTATTTATTAATGCATATTAAATGCATATTATATTACTAAATGTTTCAGTTCCTCAAATGTTTTTAAATTTATATTGAAACCAGCTTTTTAATGTTAATGCTGTTAATTTGTAGGCCAAACTACAACCTATTATATTATATTACATTATATTATATTATAACTGTAACCTCCAAGTTTTGTAGGATTCGCACTTCCCCTTCAGAATCTTTTTTTTTCAGAATCAGAACCTTTGTTTTAGTATATACAATGCTGCTTGAAAGTTTGTGAACCCTTTAGAATTGTCTATATTTCTGCATAAATATAACCCAAAAAATCGTCAGATTTTCATGCAAGTTCTGAAAGTTGACAAAGAGAACCCAATCAAACAAATGAGATGAAAATATATACTTAGTCATTTATTTATTTATTCAGGAAAATGATTCAATATTACATATCTGAGTGGCAAAAGTATGTGAATCTCTAGGATTAGCAGTTAATTTGAAGGTGAAATTAGAGTCCATCTGTTCAGAGGTGTTTTCAATCAGTGAGATGACTATCAGGTGTCAGTGTGTGCCCTGTTTTATCTAAAGAACAGGGATCTATCAAAGTTTGATCATGTTTGTGGAAGTGTATCATGGCATGAACAAAGGAGATCTCCGAGGACCTCAGAAAAAGAGTTGTTGTTGCTCATTAGGCTAGAAAAGGTTTCAAAGCCATCTCTAAAGAGTTTGGACTCCTCAATCCACGGTCAGACAGATTGTGTACAAATGGAGGAAATTCAAGACCACTGTTACCCTCCCAGTGCTGTTACCCACCGGATCATTTTTCTCAATAAATAAATGACAAAGTATATATTTTTGTCTCCTTTATTTGATTGGATTCTCTTTGTCTACTTTCAGGATTTGTGTGAAAATCTAATTATGTTTTGGGTCATATTTATGCAGAAATATTTATTAATTTTAAAGGGTTCACAAATTTTCAAGCAGCACTGTATATATATATATATTTTTTTTTTTTTTTGAGAAATTTATTGAGAAAAAATGATCCGGTGTTAAATATTTGTGAGTGGCAAAAGAATGTGAATCTTTGCTTTCGGTATCTGGTGTGACCCACTTTTGCAGCAATAACTGCAGGTAATATTTCTTGTAACTGCTGATCAGTCCTGCACAACAGCTTGTAGGAATTTTAGCCCATTCCCCAGTACAGAACCACTTCAACTCTGTGATGTTGGTGGGTTTCCTCCTATGAACTTCTTGCTTCAGGTCCTTCCACAAAATTGCAATTGCATTAATGCCCGGAATTTGACTCAGTCATTCCAAAACATTAACTTTGTCCTTCTTTAACTATCTTTTGGTCGAATGACTTGTGCGCTTGGGGTCGTTGTCTTGCTGCATGAACCTGTTTCTCAAGACAGATGTCCTGACATTTTCCTTCAGAATTTGCTGGTATAATTCAGAATTCATTGTTCCATCAATGATGGCAAGCCGTCCTGGACCAGATGTAGCAAAACAGGCCCAAACCATGATACTACCACCACCATGTTTCACAGATGGGATAAGGTTCTTATGCTGGAATGCAGTGTTTTCTTTCTCCAAACATAATGCTCCTCATTTAAACCAAAATTTTCTATTTTGGTCTCATCCATCCAGAAAAGATTTCTCCAGTATTCCTCTGACTTGTTCACATGATCTTTAGCAAACTGCAGATGGGCAGCAATGTTCTTTTTGTAGAGCAGTGGCTTTCTTCTTGTGACTCTGCCATGGACACCATGGTTGTTCAGTGTTCTCCTGATGATGGCCTCATAAACATTAACATTAGCCAATGTGAGAAAGGCCTTTAACTGCTTAGAAATTAGCCTGCAGTCCTTTGAAACCTAGTGGACTTTTACACGTCTTGCTTTACTGCTTGTGGTATGTGGACAAAAATGGCACCTGGCACAATGGCTTTGATTGCCCACTCATAACCTTCTGCTGTGGGAACTGTCACCGCCGTTACTGCTGCCTGGATGGCTTCAAGATGATCACCGAGGCGGGACAGAAGCGCTGCATGCTGTTCCATCTCAGGTACACTTTTTAAGATTCTAGATTATTGACCACTTAGTGGCCTAAAGAGGCTCATTAACCTCACATTAGACTGCCAAATAAAACTAATTAAGTATAACTGTTATAAAATAAATGCTTAATCTTAATGGTGAAGGTGCTGATTGCTAGACCTAACAGCAAGCATTTTATTTTGCATTTATTCATTTAGCAGATGCTTTTATCCAAAGCGATTTTTCTGAGTTTCTCCCAGAGAAGTCGGATCATTCAAAATTGGTGTTGTCTTTCCTGAAAAGTTTTCTGTCCTGCCTCTCTCAGCCCTTCCACTATAGCTGGCATTGCTTCATCGATCCTGCTCTTTGTGGCTGCTATAGCAACCATGGTCTGTTGCTTCATGTGTTCCTGTTGTTACCTGTACCAGCGCCGCCAGCAACGTGGCAGAACTCCTTATGAAGGTAAACGCAATAATTTTATTCTCTTCACAGTCCATCCTGAATTTATTACAAATACATAAGAATGAATTAAAAATAAACAAAGTAAATATCGGATTTTTTGCAGAGACACTCGAAGGTATTATATGTAATATTTAGCATGTATCTGAATGCATTTTTATTTATTTATTTATTTTTGCTGTTGGGTTGCATGATATACAACAACTATAAATACATCAAATCTCATATACAGTACACTCACGTAAAGCTGGATATAATATCAAGCAAAACTCAACTGCTTGATTGTCTGTATCATCGAAAAATGTAAACTATTTTATAGTACATTAATATACTAAAAGTTGTATAAATAAAACTTAAAGTACATTATTGCACAACTCTATTTGTAAAGTTGGATATATAGTACAGTATATCCGTTTTTTTCAGTATACACACAGAGCACTCACATTATATACTATATAGCACAACCAAATGAGAAGAAGCTTGTGTCATTTGCACTTTATTCTCCAATAGACATGCTTTGCTGTCTCTCCCGGCTCGTTTGTTCAAAATGTATTTATTTGACCACTAATCTGAGCATGTCACTTGCATCATTAACATCAAATCATGCTGTATGCTTTTCATGTCTTATAGACAGCTAACATACGGACATGAAACGTAGATGTCTTATAGACAGTTAACATGCAGTATGTAAATAAGAGAGAACTTACATTAAGAATTAATTTCATGTTTCATAGCATCCAACCAAACTTCATTCTGTGCATTTGCAGGTCGTCAACTGTTGCTAGATCTGGCTTGAGCTGTAATGTTAACACCCCTTAGATTTGCATGTCTTTAATTGTATCTCATACTAGGAAGGCCTGTTGTCAAGGGAATAACAGTAATGTTTGCATTCAATTAGCTGTCCGTCTGTGCATTTTTATTTGTTTCAAAAAGCTTTTTGATCTATAAAACATTTCAGTCATTTATGTTCTTTTGTTACATCTCAGTGAGATAAGTTTAAACAAAGTCCCTTTACTTTTCCCTCCAAATTCTGAAAAGGAAATCTGAATAGTGACAACTATAGTTTGAAAACTCAAAAAAAATTTGCAAGATATAAAAATCGAATTGTGAGATAAAAAGTTGCAATGGTGCAGTCATATTTACCATTGTTTAGGGAATTTTTGCAGGCAAAATTTTCAATGTGAATCCACACATTCAGGAATTTTGCATGGGGGCATAAGATTTCCTAATGCCGATTTCACATTTGGTTCAGTTGGTCATGTAAATTCGCAGCGTTGACCAATTGAAATCTTGGTTTGAAAGTGACTTCTGTGTGAGCTGTGCTTCATACAGTGCTACACTATTGACAACAAACAACGGACCTTTTTTGCTCACAAATTTTTGCCGAAATTTAATTAATGTGACCACACATAAAGGCGGGACTTCCATTGCCGCCATATGGAGTGTTCAAATGTTTCCCATTCATATTAACACGAGTGGACCTTAATTAATTTCAAAGTTCATCATAAATGACACTTTTCAATGATAAATTAGAATGTAAATTAAAAGAACATTCTCATTAAAATGAGTATCAGCTTAAAATAATTAATTTGGTACATTTACTTTTAAATGATTTCTGCTACCTCATCTCACATTTGTAAGATTAGTTGTGATGCTTTGTTCATTGTTTTAATAACTTATTAGTTATTTAAATTAATGTATAGTTAACAGTGTTGTTTTTGCTATATACAGCATATGCTACTGTATTTGTCACTTTGGAATGTGAAGTACAAATAAGAAAAGGATCTATAAAGAGGAATTTTTACAATGTGGAATATTTCAACTTGGGGAAAAGGCAATTAATAGGCTACTAGTGTTTGTACTTGCACTAATCATCCTATAAGAAAGGTCTAATTGAACAGACTGGACAAGGAGTATTGCATTATTCTCTTTTTACAATAAAAACAGAATGGACTTTGCATGCTGTCTCCATTAATGCAGTTCCTGAAATTGGCATTTTCCTATTGTCATTATTTAATGCTGCCTTAGTTTTACACATCAAAATTTTGTAATATATCAAAAATATTTTATAATATGCCACAAAATAACTGTAGTGTTCTGTGAAAAACTGTTAATGATAGCTATTAAAAAGTAGGCTGAGCAAGACCAAGAAAGGTCTAATTGAACAGACTGGACAAGGAGTATTGCATTATTCTCTTTTTACAATAAAAACAGAATGGACTTTGCATGCTGTCTCCATTAATGCAGTTCAATAATTGTCATTATTTAATGCTGCCTTAGTTTTACACATCAAAATTTTGTAATATATCAAAAATATTTTATAATATGCCACAAAATAACTGTAGTGTTCTGTGAAAAACTGTTAATGATAGCTATTAAAAAGTAGGCTGAGCAAGACCAAAATAAATAAATAAATAAATAAAAATGTGTAGCCTGGCTTGCTTCCATTTACTAGGATGAAACATTATCACTTCAAATTTATGAATAGCCTAGGCTATTCTATTGAACCACATTAAACTGATTCCTGGAATAGCACAGCAGCCTATTATAGTATCCAACATATTTCTATAACATCACTGGAAAAATGTTGTCAGTAGCCTACTCCAGGAATCTTGATTTCCTTAGTGGCCAGGAAGTAACCGTTTGTTTCTGGGATGCTTTTGGGTTTTAGTAAACCATAGCCTTCCCAATTGCCTTTAAAGGACTATGTACCCCGATCTAAATATGGGCATGCGCTCGCGATGGATTTCAAGGAATGTCCGAGCACCACAAACTTGCGCTGACAGTCCATCGCGTCTCGCGCTGCTCCACGCGATTCTTTCACATCCAGAAAGGCTTCAGTTTCATCCTCCTTCGTTTTAAACTTGAACTGTTGATGAACAGTTTTTTAAAAAGGTTAAGTAAGTGGAAAAACACGGTGATATCTTCAGCGAATTCTATATTACTCTGTACCACTACTGAACGCAATGTCCCGGAGGAAAGTGAGGGGACTCACGAAAACCGGGCGACAGGTGAGCGAGGACCCGGACCTCGACAGTTTACTGTCAAACCTGTCGCCCGAAGAAATGGAGGAGCTGCAGAAAGAGGTTTCCGTCGTTCCCGATCCAGATCCGAGTGAAATAATCGTTGTGGACCAAACGGATTTAAAACCAACCGCTCCACTTAAAAAGGAATCACAACAAAGCAGCCAGACCGATGACTTCAGATCCCGCTTACAGAGGAACCTGTCAACAGAGGTAAAATATCCCCTACCTTACAAGTTCATCTATGAAAATGTTAATGACTGAGTTTGAACTAACAAGCTTAATGCAGTAGGAGCTTGAAATACATGCAAAACAAATCAATACAAATAATGTGGTTTTCTGGGCAAATATTTCCAAGTTCTAGGGTATTGACAGATTTTTTTCAATATAGATTTAGGCCTGTATCATTTTAGGACTCTTGTATGTCTTTAGCGAAAGTCACCATATTTTTACATCTTGCACATATTTGTACAACTTTTACAAATTACTTTAAATGTAATAGGGGTGATGGGCATAAATGTTTACTTTTTAAGGCATGATACAAACAGGAGAAATAACCCTCCTAAGATATATCTAAAGGAGATATATCTATCTTTGGATGTTAAGTCTCTTGAAATGTTGGCCCGGTTGAAGTTCCGTGGTTGATTGCTCCTTTGCTCACTGCCTTTTAAGGATAAGTCTGCCAAGGCTGGAGCTTTCCCATGCAAAACAGTGTGGGTCACAAATCAAACACTCAGCCACTATGCAAGTTTACATCTTCACTGTGAAACATCCAGTGTAAACATCCAGTGTTCATGCATACAGGTTTTGTATAACCATCTGTGTCGAAGCACTGTCTTCAGTTGAACATTTTAATATTGATATGTAGGCCTAAGCTACTGGCATTTCCTCCAGTCGGCTCCCCCAAAACAAAAAATATAATATATGTTGCACATGTCACCTTGTTTGTCCATAATTCATACATGTTGAATCCTCAGGGAGAGCCAAAGAAGGAGAGCCGGAAGCAAGAGTACCTGCGTAAGATGGGCCTGAGCCAAGAGAAGAATACCTCCGCGTCTGACAGCAAAGATGGAGGGCTTCAGAGGACCCCCTTCACCTCTTCTTTCTCTAAACGTGATGGTAGAAAGGAGGACAGGACCCGCAGAGTCACAGAGGGCAGCAAAGATGACAAATTTGACCCATATCCCCTTTCTAGGAAGGACGAGGAGAGTGAGAAGCAAGAAGAGGCGAAGGAACAAAATGATGGGAGTAAATTCAAAGATAGAAGAGAGATTAGCGAAAGTAGCAGCAGCAAAACCAAAGAATTAATATCCAAGCTTCAAGAGAAGAAGGAGGATAGTAAAGAGAAAAACAGAAAGGAAGACAGTTGGAAAAGGGAATCTGGGGAAAGTAGAGCAAAGGAGATGATTTCTAGGATAAAGGACAAAGAGGAGAAGGAAAGGGGCGTCTGACAGCAAAGATGGAGGGCTTCAGAGGACCCCCTTCACCTCTTCTTTCTCTAAACGTGATGGTAGAAAGGAGGACAGGACCCGCAGAGTCACAGAGGGCAGCAAAGATGACAAATTTGACCCATATGCCCTTTCAAGGAAGGACGAGGAGAGTGAGAAGCAAGAAGAGCCGAAGGAACAAACTGATGGGAGTAAATTCAAAGATAGAAGAGAGATTAGCGAAAGTAGCAGCAGCAAAACCAAAGAATTAATATCCAAGCTTCAAGAGAAGAAGGAGGATAGTAAAGAGAAAAACAGAAAGGAAGACAGTTGGAAAAGGGAATCTGGGGAAAGTAGAGCAAAGGAGATGATTTCTAGGATAAAGGACAAAGAGGAGAAGGAAAGGGAGAGAAAGGAAGAGATTAGGAAGAGAGAGGAAATCAAAACTAAAGACTATACAACCAGGTTAGAGGAAAAGCAAAATCAGGTTCTAGAAGACAAAACGAAAAAAGAGAAGAAGTTCAAAGAAGAAAACCAAATAAGAAGGTTAAGCGAAAAGTTGAAAAAGAGCCCTATGTTGGAAGTAAAGGGACTTCCTGAAAATAAAGAGAAAAAAACGGAAAAAACTTATGAAAATGTGTGGAAGCCACAAGAATATAATGCAAAATCAAGCAATAAGGGAAGAGGGGATGTACAGAAACAAAATGAAATTGAAAATGAAGTTCATGAACCCATTAAGCAAGAGAAAATTGGAAACTGTGTCTCAGATACTATTTCAAAAAGTAAGACAAAAGAGGAGGAAGAGGAGGATGAGTCGGCTAGCATGTTTGATGAAGATTTGGAGAGAGTTCGTTGCAACGATCCGAGCGTGACTGATCTCAATGTGAACAATTCAGAGGTCATAAAAACCAAAACACTTATTCAGTTCGCAGAGGCCTTAAAAAACAACACACACATCAAAGTGTTTTCTTTGGCTAACTGCCGTGCCGATGACCACGTGGCTTATGCTATTGCCGAGACCTTACGAAATAACAAAAGCATCACTAGCATCAATTTGGACTCCAATCTTCTTACTAGCAAAGGTGTTATGTCCTTGATCCATGCCCTCCAACACAACTCCACACTCACTGAGTTACGCTTCCACAACCAGCGACACATCATTGGAGGAAAGTCTGAGATGGAGATGACCAAAATCTTGAAAGAAAACACGACTCTTCTGAAACTGGGCTACCACTTTGAGTTAGCTGGTCCTCGTATGACCATGACCAATATTCTTAGTCGCAATATGGACCGTCAGCGGCAAAAGCGACTGCAGGAACAGAAGCAGGCACAAGCCCAAGGCACTGGAGATAAGAAAGACACATTAGAAGTTCCAAAACCCGGCTTTGGTAAAGGCTCCCCGAAAGCTTCGCCTAGACCGTCTCCTATAACTTCTCCCATACCGTCACCTGCCCCGTCACCCAAGTTGACTCATAAGAAAAGAGTCAGTGGGCTTGGTGGTGGACCACCTCCGCCACCACCACCACCTGGAGGACCACCACCGCCTCCACCTCCAATGCTAGACGGAGACTTCCTGAAGAACTCCCTGACGCCCATGTCACAAAGGAAGCTAGACGATAGGAGAGGAGGAAGAGGAGGAGCTAAAAACTCAAGGGACCAACTTCTGGCTTCCATTAGAGGCAGCAATATAAAACAGCTCAAAAAGGTAGGAAATTATATTTTTTTAAATGCAATTATATAAATAATATCAATTTTAAATTGTAGATGATATATTTGTAGATAATAGTAAAAATGATTTCATATGTAAATAAAAATGCACATATGCACATATATTATTTATATATATATATTAATATCAATTTTAAATTGTAGATGATATATTTGTAGATAATAGTAAAAATGATTTCATATGTAAATAGAAAATGCACATATGCACATATATTATTTATATATATATATATATATATATATGGATAGATGGATAGACAGACAGACAGATAGATAGATAGATAGATAGATAGATAGATAGATAGATAGATAGATGTTGAACATTTGAACTCACCATTAATCATATTTTTTCATAGGTTGCATTACCAGAGCTCTTGCAATAAGCCGGCAATGCAGAGAGATAATTATGGGTGAAGAAAACGGCAGGAATGAAAGGACAGACATCTCACAGACCTTGAGAAGATCATTACTCAGAATCTTCCATAAAAAGTCTTACTGCTGCCCTATAGTATGGAAAACATGCAAGGACTCGTATATATGGTGATATTCAACTGCTTCTACCCAGGAGTCTTTGTACAAAATACACTGGACGATAGAAAGAAATGGAAGTGTGGTGCAGTCATGGGGGCTCAGAGGCTTCAGTGGCCTATGGAACTGCAGAGTTGATGCCTTGCTTGTCATTTGCACTAAATTAATAATTTCATATGATAGATTTACTAATGTGTGTTGATACAGTATGTGTGGATGTTGAAAAGATGTTTGTTTCTGCAGTCGAATTGGATCTTCTTATAGCTGACTGAATTGAACTATGTAAGAACAAATAATTGTCTGGATTTTATCCTAGTTATTTTGGGTTTGGGAATCTCTATTGTAAAAGCTCTTGCTGATCAGGGAATAAAGGTGGGATTCTAATCAAAAATTACAAATAATATATCGTTTCCATGGTACTGCGGAATTTTTAATACCTTGTTTTGAATGATTGGGTGTGAAAGAGAACAGGATTTCAGCTTTCAAGAGAAAGCAATGGATAATCAGATCTGTGAATATGACTGTGTAAACATACAATATTTATTTTGATTTATTTTGAGTTTTCCTTTAAAATTGCATGTAATCCATTGAGTTGATAAATGTTAATCACTGTAAAGTGTTTTTTTTTTTTTTACCATCCATTTGTAATTTATCAAAAAACATTGAAAATGTAGTACGTTTTTACTTTGGGAATGGAAGCAATCTCTGCACATAATAAAGGTTCATGTACCTCACGTGCTTTGCAGACAATATATTTTCATGCTTGTATGATCTCAGGCTCTTCAAGAGCACATCTAGTAAAAGCTACAATTGAATGTTATGCTAATTCAATTTGTGCTAGAAAATAAAATTAGTTTTGGATGAATATGCCAGATAAAGATACGATTGGTCCATTGGATTTTACTTTATTAATTTCAGGTCATTGTGAAAAAAATATCAGAATCATGTTTGTTTCATCAGTGTTTCATCTATTTATTTTTTATTGGATTTCATCTTGAAACTAGTTTTAGTTGTAGTTATCACTGGTCTGTTAACATCAAAACAAACTCCTTCAAGGGGTACTCCACCCAAACATGAAAATTCTGTCATCATATTATCTTCTTTTAAGCTTCATATAACCTTATGCAATACTGACATTGTTAATCTTTTTCGTTTCCTCCAATCTAACTGAATCATTGTATGAGGACATAAAAATGCACTAAAAGTTTTAGAGTCTAGGTCAGAACCATAGATAGAATGAATGATTCTAGTATTAGTGAATACTAGCTCTTTACATGATCACACAGATCCTAATAAAGGGTTGTAGCACGCTTCCAGAGCTACAATGAGCTCCTTGGGCATGGAAAAGTCAGTGATCTAATGCATTGTTGCAAATGCCACATAATCCTGTTTAGCTCATTTGGTCACTAGAATAAAGAACTATACATGAAGGCTATGTAGGACGGTCAAAGAAAAAGAACAACACAAGAACACACTTTTTATCTTTAAAGCCACTTGTGAGGTAACACTGCAAATTACATCCAACTTGGTCACAGGTTACACATTTAAAATCTTTTCTTGTAGATTCATACTCTTCAAATAAATGGCAGATGCTTATTGCAGTGCATAGATTATTGCTTTTAAAGTAAAGCGTAGATTACTTTGTAATTGCTGGATTGCAAAGGTCTGTTGTTCATCATTTTCAGAGCCCTTCAGAAGTGGACTTCTCCTTCAGAGTTTGAAAGTTGATTGGAATCGAAGCAAGCTAGTTTATATTTTGATCGGCCCTGACTAACCCTCAGCACTGCTGAAATGTCTATATTTGGTCATTTCTCAATGCAGGCTCAGTCTGCATCTCATTCCTTTCCCTTTCCTAATAATGGAAACATAGCCAACAGCCCATCGGACTCAGAGCAATGTCTTAAAGGCGACATGAGGGAGAGAGAGAGATTCTTGAGTTCTTGTTTTAATGCAGAGCCATCTACTAATTTATAGTGTTGCTCCATCTCCTCTGGGCCCAAAGAAGAATCTCTACTATAAAGGACAAGCTCAGTTTTATTAGTCACTTGCCAACTTTCATATTGCGAGATACTAGAAGTTGAAGTTTTTCAGGCATAATTGTGATATATAATCTCAATTCCAAGTCAAAATGAGCAATAGCCTAATTTAAAAGCACAATTAGGCCTACAGCTTCTTATATCTTATTTTGTTTAATCCCAGGTGAAAACAATGAGAGGAGGCCATCATAGCCTCTGGACGAGGTGGAGCTCACATGAAAAAATACTATAGTAATTTATAGTAAATACTATAGTGTTTTTGAACCATACTATAGTAAAGTGTATTATACTGTATATATTAAAGTATTTATAACACGTTGTTAATTAATGCTACAGCATACTGTAGTAGCCTATTAACCATAGTGAACTGATAAACTGTAATAAATAGGCTACTGTAGTATACTTTAGTTTTTACTACAATAAACTGTAGTGTATTGTAGTATAATATACCCTATAGTTGTAGAAAACTTAGTACAGTATTGGGTAAAATAATTTGTTTATATTACTATAGTTGTTAATATTACCACAACAACTATAGAATTACCACAGCAAATTAATTCAAGTACTTTACTATAGTATGGTTCAAAAACACTGTAGTATTTACTATAAATTACTATAGTATTTTTTCATGTGGGTTCACACATTTTGGGGACCTCTGCTTATTATCTCACTGTCAATGGTTGCAGTTGGCAGAAATACTGCCACTAGAGGGTCCTCTAGTCTACAACGATCACAAAGAAAGAGACCGCAAAAGAACACGCGACCAGCCTGACGTCACCCGCAGCAACAGCACGTGTCTGATTACGTCAGTGCGAACAGGAAAAGAACAAAATGGAGGAGTACGCGAGGGAGCCATGGTGAGCCGACAGCACCAAACTACTTATTGTTTTATACATTTTAAACAGTTATATATCTGTTAAATAGTCTGGTTAGTTGTCAGGCTGTTTGATGCTCGAATGATCGTGAAATGGTCGGTTTGATGGACGCTACTCAACGCGATGTCCTTCAGTGAAGGCTTCATGCTGTCAGTAAAGCACATGACCTTGTTCTGCCGGTGTTCTACCTCCCATTAAAACAGATGGTAGCATAGTTCGATAGCCAAAAGTGCTACTTATCAGATTTGGCTTCCAGCATGATATTAATAAGGTGTGAGGCTTTATTAATATGTACACCTACCCTAACCCTAACCCTAAACCTAACCCTACTCTTACAGAAGGATAAATACAGTGTTGGTAGCATAATCTGATAGGTAGCATTATTTGTCAGAACACCGGCATCCGTGATCAGTTGATTTAGTTTTTATATTGTTGACTGATGATATCTATTATTTAAATGTTTGAGCTATTAAAAAACAGAATATATATCATTTCTATTAACATATGGGCAGCGGGATCTGTAGCAATAAGACGTGAGAGCACAAGCACTGAAGAAATGCCTTTATATTTTATAAGACTTGCTTTTTGTCTCGTTTATTGGGACACATTATGAATACTTGTTCGAGTAGGATTTTCATGTACAAAAATGAAGTCATTTTAGAGGTGTTCCATGGTAATACCATATTGTTATTGTTTTTAAACCGTGTTTACCAGAGTACTTTTTTTGCATGGGTGGTTAGTAGCTTTATTTACTGTTATCGTTCTCATCATCATGACCTCTCCTTGTTTCTCAGCCCCTGGAGGATAGTGGACGACTGTGGGGGCGCCTTCACCATGGGGGCCATTGGTGGAGGGATCTTTCAGGCCGTCAAAGGCTTTAGAAACTCTCCTTCTGTGAGTGATTCTCTATGCTGATGATACAGTGATGCTGTATTATTTTAGTTTAACTGCATGACGTTCTTCTTGGGTCCAATATTAAGATGACATTGTTTTTTTGTTTTTCATCTGTTTAGGGAATGAATCACAGAATGAGGGGTAGCTTGACAGCCATAAGGACCAGAGCTCCACAACTAGGAGGTAATGTAAAGTTCAAAGGTTATCTATCACACGCTTGCCACATGTATGCAGAGTGATACACTCTGAAAAACTAAAACGTTTGGGGTCAGTAAGATTTTTTGTTATTTTTATGTTTTTTAAAGTAAAACCAAAGTGGCATTCATTTGTACAAAAAAAAACCTAATACTGTGAAATATAATTACAATTTTAAAATAATGTTTTATTTGGAGCTTTTCAGCAGCCATTACTCTAGTCTTTTAGTGTCACATGTAGGGCTGCACGATAAATCGAAATGGAATCGAGATCGCGATTCGACAGAAGCTGAGATTGTCATGCGTATCTTTCAGTGAAGCACGGTTCTGTGATCAGCAGTAAATCTCCATCCAAAGGCCAGAGGTTGCTATCGTGCTGAAACTCCAAATACGCCTCGCAGAAGAAACCCAGAAAATGCCTGTCAATGCAGCTGAATAAACAGAAGATTCAACTGCTTTCATTGATTCAACGTGACTAATAAACACACGACTACGGCAATATACGGTTTATCGGAGTTCTTATTATAATTTTCATTAAAATAAAGTATATTTATAATGCAATGCCTTTATCACTGCTTAAATACTATGAAATATGTTGCGTGCCTTATTCTGTGTAAGAAGCCACATCATCTCACAGAAGGATTTATTTCAAACACTCGACTGACGTTATGAAGTGAGTTTGGAGTAAAAATATGTTATTAAATGTGGTATTTTCACATGCTTTCAGATGGAGCAGCATTTACTTCACAGAGCCGTAGTTCACTGAGAAGCTATGCAAACAGCTGTCATTATCGCAAACGATTTCTTCGATTTCATAATCGCGCAATAAAATCGTCTGTGATTTTTTTTGTGTAACTTGTCAGTGAACTACGGCTATATTTAGTAAATGCTGCTCCATCTGAAAGCACGTGATGATGATTTACTGCTGATTACAGAACCGGCATTACTATCAAAATGAGCATGACAATCGCATTCGATTAATCGTGCAGCCCTAGTCACATGATCCTTCAGAAATCATTCTGATATGCTGATTTGGTGCTCAAAAAATTTCTTATTATAATCAATGTTGAAAATGGTTGTTCTGCTTCATATTTTTGTAGAAACTTACATTTTGTTTCAGGATTGTTTGATAATTGGAAATGCATTTATTTATTTGAATCTTTTTATTTAAAATTTTTGTAACACAGGGCTCCAGACTGCGCCTAAAACGGTCACATTTGTAACCAAAAATATTAATTTGCAAGTGATATTTTTGCTGAGATCGCCACTGACGACTATAAATTTACATGTGATGACTTAAAAATGTGCATGTAATGCCTTTTTTCCTGCTTGTTTTGCGATCACATCTTTTATGTTGACGTAATAAACTGAGACGATGCGCTTCAAAGTTTTAATGGAAAAAAGACTTTCAAACAGTCCTCATCTCTGCCGAACAACAGCACTGATGGCACTCTTGCTGAAAGCAGCTCCAGTTGTGGCAGCAGGAGAGAGATCGAAAATTATGGAGACGTGCAAATTAAGTGCAGAAAAGCAGTGTCTATTTTGTGCACAACTTGAACATACTACAACAGCTGTGTGGACATTAACAGTATCGTTAACAATTCTCATTTAGAATCGATACTAATATGGCTTTGTCTGATCAAGATCTTTGGTCTACATGCTGTGTTCTGTTGCGTGAACTTCATATTATTTGTAGCACATCTGCCGTCCAGTAATCACAACAAGCTTTGTGCTCTGTTACCTTTTAATAAACAAAGTATCAACTTTAAAATAATCAAACAATAAATACCCTTTTGGCGCTCTTTAATGGCATGAGCAATCGCACCTCAGGTCAAGCTGCACGTGAACCCATCATATCTTTCTCTTTACTACTATAGTACAAAATAATCATGAATGGACACCAAAGGGTATATTATAGATACAGTACAACTTACTGAAATGTCTCATGTAATCACTCATTCAGTGTTTCAAACTGTGGAAGACGTGTTAAGCTTGTAAATAATGCCACGTAACAATATTTACCTCAGAATAACCATTCGGCGTGCATATGCTCATCAGTCAGCTCGAAAAAATACCTATAAAGAGGAGCATTTTGCTAAATATATGCACTATATTGCATATTCATTACTTAACCTGTTGTCTACACGATAAGAAAGAATGCAAGGAGCTAAAGATAAAATTCAACACCACCTATATAATTGCATGTTACTAATGAAGAAAAACAGACTGGACGTGTGCAAGACATATGACAACATTTATAGGATTTGAGGAGGAGCCCAAACTACACTCAATGGCTAAGTGATGCTGACATAGTTATGGTCCATGATATTGGCACAGATTCTGTGTAATAAAAAAAACAAAACAATTATTTGTGAGTGATATTCAGGAATAATATATTTAAAAAAATTATTAATGTATAATCTGGATTAATTGTCCACTATTTGGCCATTTTGAGGTTGTCAAGATTAGCAGATAACAGTTTTAATAGCAATTTTTTATTTATGTATTTGTTTGTTTAAATTAACCAATTTGTGGACTTTTTTTCTTTTTATTTGTTTATTTAGACGTCTGCATCACACATCTTGGTTTTACTTCAAAATATATTACACAATACAAATGCTTGTCATCATTAGGAAGCTTTGCTGTGTGGGGTGGCCTCTTCTCCATGATTGATTGTGGACTGGTGAAGGTAAGGGGCAAAGAAGACCCCTGGAACTCAATCACAAGTGGAGCCATGACAGGAGCCATTTTAGCAGCAAGAAGTAAGTCCAAACCCAAAGATATGTGGATAATGATGTGGTCATGTGAGTAAATAAATATTAAGGGCATTTTTCTTCTTTCTTTTTTTCTTATTTTAAAAAAGAATAACATGTTTATGTGTGTGGTATTAATCTTTTGTCTCATCACAGATGGGCCAGTGGCCATGGTTGGCTCTGCTGCAATGGGAGGTATACTGCTTGCATTAATAGAGGGTGCAGGAATTCTGATTACAAGGTTTGCCTCAGCACAATTCCCAACTGGTAAGTGTGCAAAGTCATCCTCTGAAATGGAGTAACTTTTACAAATGCAAATAGTCATAAGTAATATTTAAATCAAAACAAAGATACCAACATCATCTTTTTTCTACAGGCCCACAGTTTGCAGAAGAACCTGCTCCCATGCCTGCTTCATCATTCGGAGACTATAGACAGTACCAATGAGAAGCCTTTTAAAACTCAAGGCCTTTTCTTATTCCATGAACTCATCTAAGACACTGAGGTTACAGTGTGGACCTCATTCATCAACAGAGCATGCCACCAACCACGAATGACTGTGACAAAGGGAATATGAAGGGCA